AACCAACCAACCAACAACCTACTAACCTAACCAACCAACAACCTACTAACCTAACCAACCAACACAACAACCCACTAACCTAACCAACCAACGACTCAATAACCTAACCAACACAACAACCCACTAACCTAACCAACCAACGACTCAATAACCTAACCAACACAACAACCCACTAACCTAACCAACCAACAACTCAATAACCTAACCAACCAACAACTCAATAACCTAACCAACCAACCAGTAATTAACAAACCACCCACTAACCCAACCAACCAATAACCAATCCACAGCTAATCAACATCCAACCAATCAACCAACAAACTCATCACCACATCATCATAAACATTCTTCTTCTCTCAGCGTTCATTCATGAAACATTAAAACTCCAGTGAGTGGACTGTGAGATGAGATGTGAAGAGCAGAAGTAATGATAACAGGAATAAACGGATGTAAACAGGAGCAAGAACCAGGAGCGAGATTAGAACTGAGACCTGGACCCGGGGGGGGGGGGGGGTTTGAACCCGCGGCTGCTGCAGCAAATACCGGTCTCCTGTGCGCCGGTAGGGGGCGGTGTGGAGCAGTAACATGGCGGTGTGAGTGTGACTGAGATCAGCGAGAATCAACCCGATCAACACCGGAGAGGTTCGCTCTTCTCCGCCGGTGAGAGAGCATCGTCCGGAGGCGAGTGTCGCTTGTGTCTCCGCGGCCCCTGAGAGCCTCCGCGGTGCCGGTCCCGCTCAGCGGATATCGGGATTCGATACCGGGAGACCAGAGACGAGCTTCCCGGGTTCGGTGCGCGACTTCTGCGCCTCCGCCACCGGGGGAAGAGAGCCCCGCAGCCCGGCAGGGTGAGCTTTAAACGGTGCCGGTCGTCCCGTTCGGTGACGACTCCCAGTCCCGGGGTCGATTCCTAACACTGCAGCGGATCTAGCGAGAGAGAAAGAAGCGCCACACTCCGCTGGTCCACTGTCACAAGTTAGCTTTAGCAGCGTCTGCTAGCTTAACAGCGTGGCTGGAGGAAAGCTGCGAGTCACCGCCAAAACAAACGAGCTGCAGCGGTTTATGAGTTAAATTCACTGGATCCTCGCGTCGTTTCGAGTTAGAGATTAATGCCGAATCAATGAGGGGATAGAAAATATCCAGATTCTGTAATAATTGTCTATGTGGAAGTCACGTGTGTTTGCCAAAGCGGAAGAGAGGATAAAACTGTCACTTTAGTGGATGAGCTTCAGTTTGCCAGGCTCCAGGCAGCGAGTACCCATGTGATGTCGCTATAATGTCTGAATCTTTACGGTTCCGTGTCTTTTTGGTTTATTTAATACAAGAAACATTAAATATCAAACTGCAAAAAGAAACAAACAAAAAAAACCACGAATTTACTCAACAATCAGTATCTGTCATTCCTAAAGTCTGCAACGTCCTAATACAGGACATTTCCAAATTAAATGTTGATTCATCTCTTGAAAATTCAGACAAATAGAGCAACGATCTTATTACTGCAGCTGACGACATTGAGAAAGTCCATCAGGACCAAAGCGGAACACACTGGTTGTATGATGAAATACTACTGAACATTTAAGTCGCTGTAACCTAAAGGAAAACACGTGTGGTTTAATTTTTACAGAAAGTCAATAAGTGTTTGTCTTGGTTTTATGTTTCTTCTCCGAGCAGCAGCAGAGCCAGAGGGAGAGGAAACCTGCTCTACACATGAGGAGGCACCAGATCACACAGCGACAGCACGAGAAACCCAGATCTGATGGAGCCCACTGACCCTGGACAAGGTTCCTCCTTTTCTCCTTATCAAGATTCTGTGATATAGTTTTTATCAGTGTTGTTAGCTAAGCTTTGATTAAGTGTCACATTATTATCGTCTCCGCCAAGGAGCTTAAACACTTTATCTTGGACACAAAATATTAGTTTGAAAGAAAAAAAACATGATTCATTTGCACAAAAAAGTAATTAAAGAATACGACTCACTAATTATGGTGTCATCTGCCATATAATGTAGTATGCAGCTTATAGAAGTAACATATATATTTATTGTTTCCCTTATACAATGTCCCATAACACTGTCACTGTCCTCACAGGGCAAGAGAAGCCATCAGCACAGAATCAGGAGTTAACACTCAGCTCAAAAGGACGACAACGGAAGAAAAATCCGAAATATACAGATTTTGAAACTGTTGATAAATCACCTGCGCAAAATCCACTTAGAAAGAGCTTAAGGGTAAGAAGAACACCTTCTAAAACAAGTCCGGCAAAGAGTGAAGATAAAGAAGCAACGGACAAAGCAGCTCAGGAGTCTAATGGAAAAACCTCAGAGGAAACTCCGAAAAAGGCAACGAGAGCCAAGAGGACCCCGTCAAAAAAGACTCCAGCGAAAAAGAGTCCCACGAAAAAGACTCCTGTGAAAAAAACTCCTGCAAAAAAGACTCCTGTGAAAAAAACTCCTGTGAAAAAAACTCCTGCGAAAAAGACTCCCGCAAAAAAGACTCCCGCCAGAAAAACTCCCAACGCTGATGGACTGACTGGAGAGGGTGGAGCTGTACACGCTGGGCAGCAGGAAAATGGGACGCCAAAGCCAAAGACGAAGCATGTAAAAAAGCAGCCTGCACAGAAAACACTGGTGACAGAAGCTGAGGAGGAACAGGGAGAAGATGCAGTTCAACCCGAGGAGGCGGTCGGTCCGGGCGGCCGCCGCAGGAGAGGTGCAGCTACAGCGTGAGTCTCATGAAGGGTGTCATTTAATTCACTGTATTCAGTTATGAATTACGTGTGGATGTTGAATGAAACTGCACTCGTTGGCGTAGGCACCACTGTGTGTTATTTCTAGTTATTTCAATGATCAGATACACATTCTTAAAATACCCAAATCAATCTCTGTGCCAAATGTTATGTGTAGGCAGTGATTACTTGTTGTTCAGTCAGAGCGTAATTAAACTAAAAAGGTAACGAAGGTAAATGCTACACGAGTAATAAATTCTGAAATGGTAATCTGATCAATCTCATCTAAAATAATGTGAATAATCTCTTTCAGAGCCTTGAAGTACCTTCAGATTTTGGCAAAAGAGGTGTTTGGTAATTCCAATGATGATTCCGAGCCTGGTGCCAACAGTAAAGTCGCCACTGACGCAAAGGGGAAAAATCCCAAAGGAAGCAAAGGTAGCGTGACAATCCTGCGGGCGATCGTTTTCAGTTGACTGACAGGTCCATCTCAATGTTGTTGTCTTGTCAGTAAAAAAAAAAAAAAAAAAATGTTCAGACTAAGTCATGTTTTCAACTTTGCCAAAAGCTAAGCTAGCTGTTAGCCTCTGTTACCCGTCTTCAGGCTAAACTAAGCTGTGGCTGGATATTTGAGGTCAGCGTCAATGAAAGAAAATAAGTGAACTTCTCAAAATGAATATTTCATATAATTACATGTTTGAGTGTTTTTCTGTTTGAATGAATTTGTGCTTTTAAGGAAAACCACCTCACAGGCCACACCGCAATTCATAAGTTGTATACTTGTCAGGAGAGACGTACTCTGACATCAATGTTTCGTCTTTGCAGTGCGTCAAGGTAAAAAAAGGAAACGGTGTGTTTCTGACAGCAATGTTGAAGACGATGAGGACTTTGTGCCTGGTGCTGAAGAAGACGAGGTTGAGGAGATGGAAGAGGAGGAGGAGGAAGAAGTAGAGGAGTCAGATTTGGAGTTAGACTTCAGGAACGTTGGAAGACGTCGAGCAGTTTTTCACATCAACAGGAATGTTAGTGGTTTGAATTTTTGATTCCGTTATTGATCAACACCATCACCCCTCACCACCAGAATGTTAATTCTTGTTCTGTTTCTCTACCTCACCTACAGATTCTGTATATTCCCATGAACTGCACAAGTGAATTTCGTTGTACTTGTTACTATGTGCGATGAAGATAAAGTTGAATCGAATCCTAATCTTAGAATCTATAGTATTTAAATGAAACTGAAGTATCCTGTTCAGATAAAATGACATGTAATCTGTAACTGGACTGTAAATATGGTGTCCTCTCTTCAACAGACTTACTCCAATGCCACTACCTCTAACGGACTCTCCATGAAAATCATGGGAGCTGTTTGGAGCAACTTTGAAACAACTAAGAAATTGTAAGTAGCTGCAGTTACTGCCGCAGTGTGGTGGTGGTTATTGTCTCTGTGAGGTACTAGTTAGTTTTTCACAGGATGTGATGTAATATGTCTGTGTGTTTTTAGCCGTGAGGAGCACTACAGCAGCTGGGTGTTCCCAGAGTGGGTCCCCTCCACCAACGACTGGCACCTTGTGACTCAGAGGTATTTCACCTTAATGCTGTTTTTGAGAGTCATGAAGGTAGTGAATGTTTGGGTTCTGCCCTGGTTGGTGTCTTAAGCCTCTTATACAAGTTAATATATAAGTTTTCATGTGTCTTACATGGGACTCAGTGATGTGGAGAAATACCTGCCTCAGGAGCCTCGTTCAGCTGCTTTCCAAGTGTCCAGAGAAGGCCTGGGTAAGGAGGAGACACCTTTACAAAGTCTCAACAGGTGAGAGACATCATCATCAAAACATTTATTTATTACTGAAACTATCCACTGGACAAATGTCACTAAACACAAGTTATTGTTTATCGATTTCTTAAGAAGTATATGTAATTCTGGTTGATCTAAAAGTCAGATGTGGTTTTTTTTAAGGGAAATGGAGAGAAGAGGGTTTGTTCTTGTTTTTAAAGCATTTTCTGTGAATGTAACTGACCAGGTTTGAGGCAGTGCCTGCTCACAGAAAATGCTGGGACATGCTGCTGTATGCAGGGGGACCCGTCTGGGCCATGGAGTGGTGTCCGACACCTGATGGAGCTCCGGCCACACAGTACATAGCTCTGGCCTGCCATCGAGGCATGGACGACCGGCACTACGTCAACAAGACGTACACGGAACCTGGACTCATTCAGCTGTGGGACGTGGGCAAGATGGAGTACAACAGCAGGTACAGATGAAGTTCTGCCTGAACCATATTATTCATTTTGTCCTTTGAAACAGAAAGACTTCTTTTTCTATAAGAGTTAGGGAGTGCAACATCACACATGTGTTTCCTCCTCCTTTGCTTGTTACGATGCTTGTTCTTACTCTTTACCTCCATCTGGTCCCTGCAGCCCGGACTCTCAGCCGACCTTGGCCTACGGCTTAGCTCAGGACAAAGGCTTCATCTGGAATCTGAAGTGGTGTCCTGCTGGAGGCTGGGAGCTCCCCAGCTGTGGCAGAAAGGTGAGGTGTTTTCAAAGTGGGCTTCTACCAAAGCGACTTCTTTGAAAGCCATTAGATTTGGTTTGGTATTTATCGCTAAACATTTTGTGACGTTTTTAATTGTCCACCTCCAAAGGCCCCCTTCCTGCCCAGGCTGGGTCTTCTAGCTGCTGCCTCCTCCACCGGCGTGGTCACCATTTACAGCCTTCCCCACCCTGCCGCTCTGCATTCCAACAAGAAGCTCCCTGACTCTGGTAAGACTGTGATTTTGAAACAACAACACAACCTCCTTTACCTCTAAACACGTCCTGACTGGAGCAGATTCACACCCAGACAGATGTTGTGTGTCTGGGTGTCCAACAGAGGGCAGTGTTGCCTTTCTAAAGCCTGAAGTGATTCCTGGATCTATGAAACGTCAACAAACAAAGTGAAGTAAAGACGCAGAGACTCGCGGGACTCTACAGTGAGAAAGTGTCTTTACGCACTGTTAAAGAATTGAGGAAAAGGAATAGTGTCATTTATTATTATTGATTTATTTTCTCAATTACCTGGTGAATCTGCTCTGGTCCTAAAGATGTCTAAAATATTGAACATGGCCGTCATAACTCCTGAAGTGATGATAAGTAAAAACCTTAAAATATTCAGATCACAATCATTAAATAACAGAAAATCATTTTATATCTCCAAGAAAAATGGCTTCAATAATTAATTGTTTATCAAAATACTTGCTGATTGGTTTTCTGACGATGGACTAATCCATAAACAGTTTGAGCCAGTGTGATGATTTGATGATCTTAGTTCACAGGCGTTCATCCATAACATGATTAACTCAAACCTAAGTATGAAATCGATCAAACAGCATCACACCAGTCACTGACATCATTAACTGAACCAGATATCATATTCAGTAGTGGGACAGTGTCCGTGAAGGGTGTGTCTCTGTTATGTGCTGGGAGGCCCATCAAGCATTTTAATGCTGCTTTAACAATGGCAGTAGTTAATCGCTCCTCTGAAAGATCTGAACACACACACACGCACACACACACACACACACACACACACACACACACACACACAGTGCTCCAGGAGTGTATATATGCCGACATTATGGATGGTGGAGCCTGTGGTCCAGTCCACTCAGATCACTGCGTCAGCTGCCTTTGGGGCTCGGCTGATAGAACACTGTATGAATGAGATTGATGGCGACCTCGTGGGCCACATCCATCATGCACAGAAAGCTGTTTATATCTACACGTTTGTGTGTTGATCTGCCTGCGTCTGCCCGTCGGCACACAGGCCGATCTGAACCACGACACCAGTCTGATACCATAGCATCTCGAAACACTCACACACTTTGACGTCATATCGGTCAACACGAGCTTCCTCCATCCCATTGAGACTCATCTGTGGGTCACATCGTGTCCGTGGTTGTGTAACGTGAAGATTGGCTGATTGTTGTGTCCAGATTTCATTCTCACAGTTTTGAACCACAGAATTTCTCAGCTGGAAGCCACATGAGATTAAATACTTGGACCTAGCCTTGTCTAAAATTGTATTGACTCTTTTATCTATCGAATACGGTTCGGGCAGTATGACTTCAAATCTGTATCATGATTATTTCAACGTGCACACGTTGTGTTGGACGATTCTAATGTTTTGCACTTTTTTCTGATTAAGAAATACTTTTGTTGCTTTAGTTTGGACATGAAAGCTCTATAAAGCCTGACATTTCCACTCTTTGTTGTTTCCTTTCCCCCGTAGCTTCATGGCCTATAGTTTCCATTTTATTCTGTGGCCATGGGTCATTGGGTCTGTATTCCAAAGAGCGACTCTGTCAGCCGCTTGCTTCCAACCGTAGGTTATGGTTATTGGATGGAAAGGTTGCAGAGCACTCACATTAGAAGATAGTGTGCCCTGAACACACAGACTGAGACCGCAGAGAGAGACTTGGACTAAAACCCAGATTGTGAATATTGTCATATACTGTATACACATTCAAATAAAGTGTTCCCAACATATAGGAATAAACTTAAGTAGTGAATACTTAATTACTCAATGTGCTTAAAATCATTTTCATTTTAAATCAGTCTAAAATCACCATCTGTTGTTTTTTAATTGTGTGATTTACTACATGACCTCACTGTCTTCACTTTCAACCAACAAGATTTCAAGATGACTGTAAGAAACCCACAGTAGTTGTATTCTGGTGTAGAGTGGATATAACAATGTAAGTGGCAGCTGTTTGCACTGGAGCCTCAGTGTGATGAGGTCAACCAGTGAGCACCCATTAATATCCAGGATGTTTTTCAACTAGATCCATGAAATCTAATCCGTCCTGCTGACAGACAAACCTCAGCAGAGGTAAATATTCACATAAACTAATCGTGTGGTGGTTGTCGGTAGATCCGTCATTTGCTCTGCAGCCACGTGTCATCTGTGAATTTCTTCCTAGCGTTTTCTTGCTTCTCTCAGCCTGACGAGATGAGGGCTAATTGAAAACAGATTAGCTGTCCCAGTGGAAAGGGTTTCTGTGTTTCCCTCTCAGCTGAAAGGGTTAAAGGTGAAATTGGCTCGGGCAGGGTTAAACGGGGCGTGTGCCCGTCTTCCCCACCGGCCCGGCTCTGTTTGCGACAGATAATTATAAATGTCTTTTGTCCGCCCAGTCGCCAGAATGAATGAGCGAGTGACTGAGAAGAGGAGGCTGTTAAAGCGGCAGAATTGTCGGGGGGTGGATGGAGGTGTGTGTGTGTGTGTGTGTGTGTGTGAGTGGGGAAGGGAGGAGAAAAAAAGACAAAAGGGAGAATGTGAGACGGTGAAGTGAATGCACATAATTTACAGTGCCGTTCTCCATCAGACAAGGATCTATAATTGAAATGACAAAGAAGATGCATCACCGAGCCAGTTGTTAGTGTTGGAAGCCATGAATTTGAGTTCTAGTAGCTGACACCTCCTGTGTCCCCACTCTGTCAGTCATCCAGGACTTATTTTTGGGAGGGGGCGGGGTCACAGGGAGGCCAAGCTAATGCGCTCTAGTGTGTGTGTAGTACTTTTATTCATCTTCAGGACGTGAGTGTGCAGGGGATGTTTGGTTCAGATGACGAGAACATCCACTGTGTTAATGTTCATTAACCCGAGCCCTGTGTATGTCGCCAGATAATCAGCATCATCAGTCACATCAAACTGTGCTCATCACACAGGGCCGGTGTTTACAGATGAATCAGTGTTAAAATCCGAACACCAGGGGGCGATCAAGATGATTTGGCTTCATTCTTGCGAGCTGTCACATCCTCAATGGATGTAACCCACGTTTACCTTCCTGTAAAAACACTTTGGATTGACCTCTTTCACATAAAACTGATTTATACGTTGTTCGCACCAGAGGATGTGAAGGCTTCATCCAGAGATGAATTCCACCATTTTGTTTTATAACATTGTTCATTTGATGCGTGTTCTGATTTGTATGCTCGGTTTTAATAATCATCAACGATCAACACATTTAAAATCGTGATTCTTGTGTCTTTCTACAGGAAATGTGAAGCAACAGCTGCCGATATACCAGGTAGGCCCCGATTTAAAGAAGTTACCACGCTGTCACAATCCTCTCCCTGTAAAATTTCGTTTTGTTTCAAAAGTATAAAATGTACCATCCACCTCTGTGTCGTTGTTTGTGAAGCTGTGTTTGTTGCGGTGCTTCCTGTTTCTCTGCAGACAGATGGCGTATTAACGCTGAAACTCGGCTCCCTCAAAGCCCCTCGCCATGAGAACAGTGGACAGGTCCTGTCTATGGACTGGCTGCCGGAAAAACCACACAATGTAATAGCTATTGGATTCTATGACGGTATGAATTGATTTCTTGGGGATGTTCTTGATTAATTGGTTCAGCGTCTGAGAGAGCAAACAGATGAGCAGCCTGGATCCCTTCAGGTTCATCTGTTCCCGTCCTGACAAACAAAAAACATGATTCACTGGTGTCTTTTGCAAGTTGGAAGAATATAATCCATTCTTTTCTTTGCCCTCTGACTCTTTGTCTCTATCTCCAGGTATCGTGGGTCTTTGGGATCTGTCCACTAAGTCTACGTTGCTGCAGATGCGAGAGTCGGACGGGTCCCTGAGTCTGCTGCCCTATCGATGCTTGCTTGCTCACGATCACGCTGTCCGGGCGCTGGCCTTCTGTCCCGCCTCCAGGTAAACGCTGATCTCATGTCCCCGTGCCGCAGATATGTTTCCAGGTTGTCTTTTCATTTCATCGTTTTGAACACGATATCTTAAGGACATTTCACTCCAGATAAAACGAGTCAGAAAACCTGTAATTTATTGAGCGAAAACTCAGCTTGTCACTGTATTGTATAGAATTTGGACTCGTGAAGAGTGAATGGTTGTGTAAATGTAATATTTCCGTTTCAGGGGTCATGTTGTAAATCAGTGAAGTGAAAAAGTTGATCGGAGTTTATCTGTATTATCTTTTTTTCATAATGAAATCAGTTTCTATCAGCTTTAAAAAAAACCCTCGTGCAGAAAAGGAGTGAAAAATGTAAGAAACACTGAAGGAGCATCACAGAAGAGAGAAGTAATTGCTTGGATCTGTTTATGTTTTTTCCCCATCTGCTGCAGTTTGGCACTTTTATTCACTAACCTTTAAAAGGTGGGTTGAAGCTCAGCAGCACAATAAATCCAGAGGTTTGGCAGAAAAGCCCTTTCTCCAGTGTATTCAGGCACTAATTCATAATGTAGGGAACAAGGCCTCGTGTGCAGCCATGTCCTCTCTGAGCCATCACCAATTCAATGAGGTAACCTCACTTATCGCTACACGTGCACTGACCTTCAGGCTGCGGCACTTCTGGGCTCAAATCCTCTGGAGTAAGATCTTCTGTGAGCTCTTCTTCCTTTGAGGAACATCTGTTGATATTTCCCTCCTTCAGAGAACACAGGAACACTGACGAACAGGGAAAAATATCCTTGCGACTCTTTTCAGTGCTACTTATTCTTTTTGGACTTTTTCCAGGAATCGCTGGTCTCTGCCGTACATGAGCACAGAGAGAAGACTCGACTGTCCACTATGTAATTAAAGGCCATAGCTCAAGATTTCACGTTAACCCTTGTAGGAACCGTCTCACCCCTCCTCACATTAGTCTGCCCTGCTCCATTACTCAGCTGATGTATGTGTAGATGAGGGGGGGGGAGATGGAAGGGTCATTTACATCACCTGCGTCCGCTACAAGGATTCACCGACGACACTGATTCGCAGTGCGAGTCAGCATAAGTGCTAAAGCAATAACCCGAGTCAAGATTGGCTTTTTATTAAAATTCGATATTGGCCAGTCAGTGTGTCAAGGAGTCCCACGTCTCCTCTCCAGTAATGGTCGTCTCTAAAATCTGCAGTGAGAATAAATCTCCTGAGGTGAGGACAGGCCACCTGAAAAATGATGAACACGTTTTTGTGTCACGTGACGCAAACGGCTTCGCGAAGGATTTTTTTTCTGCCTTGACGTGATTCAAGAGTCGGAAGAAGAAAAGGAAAGTAGTTTTTAAAGAAAGTTTAGGTTTTGATAAGTAAGTCGTGCTCTGCATCGTCTTTCAAAGTCTTCATCAGTTCATCTAAAGTATCAGTGGTGATTTAGTTTTGTCTGTTGGTTGGTTTGTTTAAATGTAGACTGTGTTTAAATCCCTGTAGATAATTAACGTTGGCGTTAACATCACTGCATTACTGTTGGTCTCCTGCCAGATCTGAGGCTAATTTGATGAACAGCCGTGTTCCTCCGTCCGGTCTCTGTCGTTTGTCAGCGTCGACTCTCGGTTTTTCCGTGAAGGCAGATTTGAAAGTTATGGAGCCGAGGCTGAATAACAAGATTAATCCTGCAGCCGAGAGAGACTGAGGAGGACAAACATCTTGTCTGGATCACTGCTTTTTAATTACACAGCCATGTTGAAAGAGATAAAACTACCCCCCCCCCTCTCTGTACCTGTTTTCTTTTCTCCTCTTCCTCTCCACATTCATACACCTCTGTTAGTTTCTCAGTGAGCTCAGGTCGTATTGATCGCTCTGTCTTCGTTTGTCTTACGGCAGACGCTGCTGTCAGATTCGATCAATGTT